AGGCTCAGGGTATTTCCAGACTTTGCTGTTGAAATATTAGGAGAATTTCAACCTTATCATTTCTATCTGCAGAAATGTACAACTATAAAACTTTTTTGCATAACTTGAATCTCTCATATTTATTTAATGTTTGATCCTGACAGTGTGTTAATGTCTGTTAGAATATGGGCTACTTTTCATACACCTTTGTTGTTTTTTGCTGCTTAAAAGACTATGTGAATATATTTTAATGTTTATTTCAAGCATTATCTCTAAAATATGCTGTAGGCTTACTGATGTTAGTAAGTCATCATGCTTTGCTGTATTAGTTCACTAGCAGCGTGTCCAATAGAAACTATTTAACTGTTAAAACAAAGGTACATTTTGTTCCCTATGAAATTTGCATCTTTCCTTTTTTTTGTTCCGGTAATTTACCAGTGAGAAGTCCAAATTGCAGCCGCAGGCTTCTGTTCACAAGCCTTCAGTGAAATTTGAAAGCTGTTTTACAAATATGAAGCAGAATAAATGCACTAAAAATGAAATCCCTCCTGGGGGAGTCTACTGCAATGAGTTGGTCCCTGTGTGACCCACTCCGTTATCAGCTCTGCTGTGTGACCCAAGGCCTGCTGTTAGTTTGTTTGCCTGTGCTCGTTCAGCCTCAGCGGGGGGCAGATACAACGGGTTAGAGGTCAGCTCAGCTCTTGGATTATGATGTTATTCCAAAATTATCTGCTTGATAAGCATGTCATTACTAATTAATCTAATGGGTAACCACTAACAGATTCATTGTCCTGCATGGAAACCCCAGGGATTAGATACAATACCTCAGCAGGTTAAGGTGTTTGATTAGATTAGATTAGATTTGATTAGATCAGATTCAACTTTATTGTCATAACCCGTGTACAAGTACAAGGCAACGAATGCAGTTTAGCATCTAACCAGAAGTGAAATAACAGCAGTGCAGAGTGCACAGTATCTACAGTATGAACAGTCAGAACTAATTCACCAATAGACATGTACAATTGGTATTTACAGTAAGATATGTAAGGTAATGTACAATATACAACAGACCTTTGATCCACTGAACATGACATTTAATGTTTCAACTTGTTAAGTTTCCTGTGATTGTATCACAGATTCAATAGCAAAGCCTTAAAATTACTTTTTAATGACAAAGTGAAATCTATTGATTTTTTTTATAATGCAATGTGATGCAAAAACACAACACAAACTACACACACACACACACACACAAGTATATATACACTCACCAGCCACTTTATTAGGTACACCTGTATAATTGTATGCAATTCACTGCAACATTTCCACCTTAACATCTGTGTTTAAGAAACTCAAAGTGTGTAGGTTTTGTCATAGATGTGTAAATTCAGTTATATAAATTATATAAATAATACATAATATATATATAATTACATATAGTGTTTTATAAACAAAAATGACATCTATGGTGTACAAATGTGTAATAAAAATTAAAGAATTATCTCATCATCAGATGCATTTCCTGTGTTTTAGCTGCATATTGAAAGAATGTATTTTTTCAGATGTCACATAAAATAGTTGCACAGAATCAACACCACATCTTTGACATTTCACAAGTATTCAAGTTTTAGATGCTGCACATCGTTTTGTCTAAAAGTAATGCTGGAGAATTTTCTCCTTCATCTGCTGCTGGTCTATTGTTAAATGTTTGACCCAGGCGCTACAGCCGTACCATAATGACAGTTCTCTTTGTCTTTTCCCCTTCACTCTAAAACAAGAGTTCCATTATAAAATCTTAAGCTTGGTATTATCAGGATTTAACTGGGTGTGTACCAGTTAAGCTCATGAGAATTAAACACTTGAAATCTGTATTGCTTAAATTCTGATTTAAACATTTAAACAATATTAAAAATAAATACCACAGCACAAGCATAAAAAAAGTAATAAAGAACACAGAGACTAGTTACTGTAAAGCTCACAAAGCAACAGAGTAACTATTTTAAAGCACAATGAGACAAATTAGGAACCAAACAAGTTCATGGACATGGCCCAAACAGTGCTGCGCTAAAAGCACTGATATCTTTAGCTTAAATTTTAATTCCTCTATTAGCCAAGTTGTTGACATGGATACATCCATGTCCAGAATCAGAATTAGATAAATTTGAATTCCTTTATTTTTACAGCTTATTCTGTGCTTGCACAAGCTGAGATGCCACATATGTTCAGTAACAGTAAACCTGAGCGCATTTACAATGACCATCCAGGCTTCTCCTGTCAGCCATCATCCTTTAACTCAATTATAAACTGATAAAATATCACCTCCACTAAAACAGAGGGATTCTCTAGTAAGTGATGTTTGGGTTTACAGAGTGTGCAGAAAGAATAAGAGCAATGGAATTTCTGTAAATATTTGCACTGTAAAATTTGGATCACCAGTCTTTGCTGGTACTAAATGTCCTCACTGCTTTGGTAATGGAGTTCTCAGTTACCTGAATGTACTTTTCAGTTATTATCTTCTTGCTTATCAACTACTCTGCTGAAAGCACATTAAATAATGTTTCATAATTCTTGTACAGTGTAAAAATCTTTACATGACCGATGCACTCATCACGCTTCAGATTTCCAACTGCTGCATATTAAAAACTCTACACCTGCCTCAAGAACAAAGTAAATAGGGCTTCGACATTTAATTTCACATGTCCTACAGAAAAGTGAACTGTGACACAGGAAGAGAAGTTTTCTGAAGAGGAGAGATGTGTGGAGAAGAACAAAAACCAGTGCAGGTGACACCTGAACAAGGCTTTGGTACTTTTCATCAGAGCTTCTGAGATCAGTAGTGACTCTAAAATGGGAGGTAATATTTTGTGACTGACTGACTGACCTCTAATTTACTGACATCCAGGATGAAAACACCCATCACCCCGCTTCACTCCTACCTGTCTGGTTGCGGGCCACCTGCTGTGTGTCCATGCAGCTGGTCAGGTACGGCGTGTTGCTGAACATCCTGCTGGGGGGCTGGTGGTGGTGCGGTGTGGTCACAGATGGTGGCTGGCTGGGGGCAGGTGGTGGGGGTGCCCCAAATGTTGGCCCATACCTACAGGCCCCTGTGCCTGTAAACTGTCCTGAGAAGTGGACGGTGAAGGCACTGAGGCCACAGTGAGGGTCAGTGTCATGGTGGTGAGGGTCACCAGTGGCCCCCCAGCTGGGCTCCTGTTTGATGAAGGAGTGTGGCCCCAAAGATGTGTGGGGAGCAGCCAGAGAGGAGTAAGGGGAAGCGGCGGTGTGGAAGTCCAAGACAGGAGCCCACTGTGGGGCGGTGCTGACAGGCAGCGGCGGGCAGCTGGGGCTGGGGCCTGCTGGAACCGGGGGCAACAGGGAGTTCAAATCACGTACGTCTGAACCCATCATGGTCCAGGGGAGAGAAGGAGGAAACTGATGGGCAATTTTTAAATCTGATGCACCTCCCTGCAGCTTTCTACCTGTCTACCACCCCGACGGTGTATCTGGCTGACCCACACCCACAACACTCACCACCCTCTAAATCCTTGAGAGCCTAGAGAGTCTTTCTCTCACTGTAAGGAGTTGTTCTCTTTCACAAGTCTTCTTGGATTCAGTTTTTGCCCATCAGTTGTTTACAACACCACACAGCCACACTGGAAGCGCCTTAATTCCGACAGAAGTTCATGGCGACACAAAAAAGTCACACCAGTCAACTTTTCTCAGCAACCACCCAAGGAAAAAAAATGCAGAGGAATAAACCAAAGTGATCAGCTTTGATCTTCAGTGTCTGTCCACAGCAGCAGTGAGAGAGTGTCTGGCTCGGAGAGATGGAGTCCATTCAAGGAGGACAGCGATTTCTGCCTCGAGCTCTGTCTGTGAATGAAGAAAGAGGAGTGGAGGAGTGAGGAGGAGTAGCCCTGTTTTCCCTCCACACTCTCAGCCTGTGTGTGTGTGTGTGTGCGTATGTCTGAGGGGGATAGGGGGTGGAGTCAGGAGGTGATGAGGGGCAGGAGCCCTCTGATTTCATTCATTTACTGCATGCTCAACAGTACACACACACACACACACACACACACACTCATGGAAACAAATCCCAATTCTGACCTCAGAGACAAAAGCAAAAATAGGCTAACACTTCTAATATTTTGGGTAATGGATGAAAAGCTGATCATTAGGTTTATATAACGTGCTGTCAGCTTGTGTCATAAGGTTATAGACCTATTAATCTACTTTACTGCTGAGAAGCTGAGACACTACTGTAGTTAACTTTCCGTGTTTTTCCATGTTATCTTTAAGTGTTTTTATTTTATTTTTCAATGTCAGTTACCCTAGACTATAGACTGTACTAAGTCTACTACTATTTTTAATCGGGATCCATCAATTAATTTCAATTCAATTACATTTATATAGCGCCAAATCACAACAAAAATCATCTCAGGGAACTTTACATAGTAAGGTCTAGACTTTACCATTATTATGATTATTATTATGATTATTATTATTATTATAGGGGAAAATCCAACAAATCCCCCCTGAGAAAGCACGTGGCGACAGTGGGAGGGAAAAACTCCCCACAACCAGTTTAAGACGTCTCTGATCTAAAACGACACCAGTGTCTAAACCCTAACCTGTCCCGGACAGAACCAGCAGTGAGACAAGAGGCCGGTCGTGGCGCAGGAATCCCGTTTAAAACGAGTCCAAATCATTCTCCACCATAAAACAAAGCAAAAACAAAAAGGCGGCATTTTGTGGGGATTTACAATCAAACTCGTGCTCCGGAAAATATTCTATAACTATTGCAATTATTTTCCCTGTTTTGATTAAAAAAGGATGTGGTCTCATTAACGCTGTTAGGAGATGAACAGTCAGTGGCGCGCGGACAGAGAAACGGGCCCACGTGACGGTAAATGCTGACAGCGACCTTTAAGGCCCATCGGTCTGGTTATTTGTTTATATTCACATGTTTCATTTTGATTTCAGCCGTTTACATTCAGTGGATGTTACATGTTACAGTTCCCCTAACATTATATGAATCTGTGCCTCCTGCGGTTATGAAGACGAAGGTAGGCCTTCATCAGATCATCGGACAGAACCGCGTTTCAAACTGGTCTAAAGGAAAACGCAGTCGTTTTTCTTTTATTATCCCACTCCTGTACAGTGAAATAATAAAGGCTATTATGATATTATGGTCTGTATTATTGGAAATGGTACATTATTATTATTATTATTGTTGTTGTTCTATTATTATTATTACAGACCTAATTTATTTCTTTAAACAGACGGTTTCCCCCTAATTCCAGGCTCCCAGTCTCTGATTCCCTACCGGACTAAATGTCCTATCAAAGGTCTGTCTGTCATGTCTCTGTGTTGGTCGGAGGGAGGACAACGACCCGTTTAATCAAAGTATCTTTTACTGTTAAAGTTCATGTGAACAACAACAGCTACGGACAATATCAGCATTGAAATGCGTGTGTGTTGTTCTGCTGGACTGCTGAAAATCATTTTCTTTAAATTAAACATCCGAACTAAGTCGTTTAGTAACAATTATATTAATGTTTATTCGTCCAGTTCTCTGAACAGTTGACTGCAACACAAACACTTTTTTCACTTAGGCTATTGCTGTGTCCTATTTCCAGTATTTCATTTTGCCCTTAATTCAGTTCAAAATATATGTATAAGAATATATTTTTATATTTTATAATAAGACTTATCATGTGTTTTAGCGGTTTGAGCCTTTTTCACCCGATCATTTTCAGTCTCCCAGTCTGAGGCCGTGCTATCACCATAACATGACATGACCCACAAGAAACAGGCTCCAAAAATAAAAAAACTCATTCACAACATTTATTAAACTCTCCAAAGTGATTTTCTTTGGCAAATAAAACCCGGAATATGTGCTTTTATTTGTTCTTCTTCTTGTTTCATCAAGTATCTTTAAGATGCTCTTCACATACATCTTTTTTTTTTTTTTTTACCAAATATTTAATGGTGGTTTCAGGTTTAACAAGTCCCCATCATCAAACAAGAATTATGAATGAAGATCAACTGTTAACATCAACCTGGTCACGGACAGCAGATGGAAATAATGCACTGGGCCAAATCAGGCTCATTTAGCACATGCTGATAGAAATGAACTGGAGCAGAGAAGCAGCTGAGAGGCTGACATGTGACTTTCAGTGTTTTGAATCCAGAATAATTGTGCTGATATAAGTTGCATTTGTCTCCTAATAAAGGTTACTGTGACATGACAGACTGTGTCCTGTAGCTTGAGAAGAGTCAGCTCTGATGAAGATTTACTCTTCACTTGTTGCCATCTTTGTCACTTCATCCAAATATGGGCAAACAAGGAGTTTCCTGAGTAGGGGCTGTGATAGGCTGGAACATCTGTCAATACAAACGTCACAAAGCTTTATCTGCTCAATGAACAGCCACCTTCTAATGAATCCTAATAAATATAAGAAATGAGATCAGCGTTTGAGTCCCAAAACCCTTGTGGAACAAACGTGTAAACTTTAATCCAGCTTTATCCGACTGACTTCAGTTTACATCCATTTGTTTTTAATGCCCATTTTCAATTTGCACACACACAAAACAACTGGAAATACTGTAAATTAATACAAAAGAATTATGTTAAAACGTTTTTACAGCTGGCTGAGGTGAAAAGGTTTGTGTACTGATAAAAACAAAATGATATTAAACAATTAAACTAATAAATCATAACACATTAAGCACATGGTGCATTTGTTAGTAACGTTTTCAGTGAAGACATAAAACCATCAGATCTATGTGGAGCAATGAGGAGACTGTAAACCTCTTGTCATATGTTTTCTGCTTCATTCTCTATCATTTCAGGTTTGACTGGCATTTCTAATGATATCATCTCACTGGGCCTTCTACTTCTGCAAAGGTTTAAAAGCACCCAGCTGGAGGATTAACTCCAACTACACATCTCAATGTTCCCAACAACCAGTAGCTAGAAACAGGCACAGATTTTGTTTTCTTTTACTGATTTTCTTGAAATTTGGTAAATATGTCCTTTACATTTGGATGAAAACTTGAATTGAGTTTTGTTGTTATTAGGTGGACAAACTGCAGCTTAAGTTGGTTCAAAACAAGCTGTTCAGCTCTGACCTCTTACTTTCACTACAGTAGGTAATGGTCACACATCTCCCTGCACAATGAATGCAAATCATGTACTGATACATTGTCTAATCTTAGATGTCATTCACATGGATAGTGGACTGACCTGCTAGTCCAACAACTCAGCATTTATTTCATGGCAAAAATCAGTGTCCTGTCTTTAAGGTTTAATACCTGCCTTTTCTAATCAGACCTACTATATTATTTTCTAAGAGATTTTTTGCCAAGCTTATTGTATTCTGGCTGTTGCCTTCCTCCAGTTGCCGTGTTCATATATTCCTCTCTCATGCACACAAATCACAGGTTCATCCAGTGTACGTGTGTGTGTTGGTGTGTGTCCTTCAGCAGTGCCACTGCTTCTGATCTAAGACTGTAGGCTTTTTAAAGGTCATCTCTCTCTGGCTGATGCTCACGGTCTGCCAGCTGTCTTGTGGCCATGGCAACAAACAAGCAAACACATGCACACGCAGTACCAGACACGATTCTTAACTTTCATTTTTTTGAAAAACATTTTTACAGTACTTATTTTTTTTGTCATGTTGTAAAACAAATCACATTTGGAAACAAAGAGAAGGAAACATTGATGGGAAGGACCTGGACATAGATGGAAATAGTCTGCAGAACCACAGGGACACATGTTTCAATGTCCAGCAGCTGAACACATCTAGTCTAAAGCATTATTAAGTCAACTTGTTCCTCAAACAAGTCCTCCAACTTGAACATGATGTATTCAGGGACATATCTTCTTGAGGCCAGGCTGTTCTTCCCATTAGAGAACAACTAATATTCAACAAGCTAAAGACACTGGCAAACTGCCACCAGTGGATGCAAACACACACATACACAAACTGCCTGAATCATTTACAGTTAACGGAAGTGTCCACTGAGCATTTTTCTTCCCATCGTGCTCTTCTCCTGGAACTTGTTACAGGAGTAAGATGTCCCAATGTACGTTACACTCAGGCTCTGTGCATCAGAAGAAGCAGGGCAGGTAGTGTTACACAGCAGCAGCAGCAGCAGCCAGTGTTGTTTAGTATATTTTGTGTATATTTGTGCATTGGTAAAAAGTCAGCATTTACTGTAGGAGTGAGTATATTCTGTGAGTGTGAGTTCTGATGCGTCTGTGTTAAACTGATGAGCAGAGATAGATGGTGACTTCACCATCTGGAAATCGAGTCTGGCTCAATGCACAAAGACCTGCTGACCCATGATTCAACTCTTCAACTCCATGAGGAACGACAAAAAGAAAGGCGGGGGGCAGAGGGGTTAGTAGGAGTAGAGGATGACGGAGGGAGGTGGAGTGTGGTGTTAAAAGTGCTTGTCATGAGGACAAGAAGTTTGAAACTACTTTGGTTTAGTTTGAAACTACTTTGTTCATCCAAGAGTCATGGAAATAAGAGTACACTTGAACAAACTAACTAAACTAACTTGCTGTTTTACTTGTGTTTGTGACTTAACGTTGTTCAGCCTAAACCTAATTGTTCAACACAATCTGCACAAATCAATATCTGTATAATATTTGTGCACTGTGAAAGGGTTCGCTAACAGTGATGAAATTCAGTGTTTGGTTTTCCAGCCTGCAACATTAACGTTTTAGTTTCTTCTCACCACTCTGGTCAGTTTCATTTCCAGACACACCAGGCAGCTGCTTTTAACTGAACAAAATTGAACAGACCTGCTATACACAGTGTGCATAGCGACACAGGGCAGACATACAAAGTTAATAGCTGGTAAACTAGAGCTGCTACTTTGACTGATAAAAACCACTCAAACCT